GTTGTGGTTTATACTCGAACTTGACCCGCGCCATTTCTGAAATGAATGGCTGTAGTTATTCCAATTATCGTTAGTTTTGCTATAAATGTATTTGTAGTGACTTGATATGTTTTCATCAATTAAGAACCCACACAGACAATAAGCTGTTGGACATTGGACCAACAACGAAACAGGACATCAGGATTCGAACCCTGGTTATATTTAAGGAAATCCTAATCTTTTGGGATGATCCTTCGCTGTTGCATAATGACATCTTGCTTCAAGTCTAAGGGCTTTATCTCGCTTCCTCAGAGGCGAACATTAAGTCCTTAACCAGCTAGCTACCTTTACCGAGTCAAGAGTAAGCAGCTGAGAGTTACCATGCCGAGAGCAGCTCCTCGAACAAAATCCGTACATTTTTATGCATAACCTTTTTCAAATGAAGGGCTTGAAAGTTCAAAAGCTGTTCAAACATTGAGCTGTAACTAGCTAATCGGAATTCTTTGCTATGATCTTTTTTTTTTGCTTGTAGGGCGCCTATTCTAAAAGTTTTCCTCAAAACAATGTACGGTTCTTCAACTAGCTAACAAATCCATGATTCAAACCAATGAGATTTACGAAGCAAGAAATCCTTTATCACAGTGGTTATTAAAAACACCAGGCTGGTTACCTTTGGTCTTAGTATCCTCTTTTACATCAGCATGAAGAGTTTTCCCTCCGAAAATGTTGACACCTCCAATAGCTGATGGTGTTCTTCGGTTTGCTTCGGGTTGATCAGGATCTGCAGAACGCCGAACAACCACCTCATCACGATTTAGAGTGCTTGATGGCGGCACTATAACGTTTATGGACTGTCGAAAATGATGATGGTGATGAAAATTCGACTTATGAAAGAAACAAACCATCGGGTTTCACAAAGTTAGTAGGGAACATGCCAATAGCATTTGTACGTAACAGACGTCCACGACTCCAACCATCCTCTACTTCCTCCAGAACCTGAGCAAAATACGTTCTTTACTGATCGAATTTTCTAGTTGATACTATACTTTTCGGTTGTTGAAGAGGTTTTCCGACAAAAATCAGATCTTTTTTGAAATGGTTCCAGAAATTCACAGGATAGACCAAGCGTAGAGAGTATGTCACAAGAGAAACCATCAACCTTGTTTCACCCTTTGAACTACCAGCGATATTATTCTACAGAAGTCAGAAGGCTTTCACTCGATGAAGCCATTGACTGTCAAATCATTGCAATTTACGAATATTCTTCCACCACGTAATGCCTAAGCAGGTGGAGGAAATGATCATTCAAAAGTGCAAGTGCATGGTAAGGGAAAGAGGTAGATAAGCAACTAGAAGCAGCAGGCTTCACTAATTCTTAACGGACGCTCGAATCAGCATTTTGACGCACGCTAACGTGCCGTTTATCGGTTTCAAATGCCTTTTCCGATCTGGTTGGCTACAATATGGATTTGGTCTGTGTAAGTAGAAATGTGTAAGCATTCCTGGGCCCAGCAGTTCTTAGCGGACTTCATGCACAGATATCGTGCACTACATTAAAGGATAGTATTCCCTGCTGTGAAGTTGTTAAACAAAATGCCGACCGGTAAGCGATGAACAGTGCTTTTAGCAGAAATGTTGCGGACAGCTCGAGCCGCTACACTTGCGCTCCTTTCTTGGCGCCACTCGTGGAAGGTGACAGCACATAATTGGTGCTGTCCAATCTTTATAAATTGCGAAAACCCACGTGCATGCCTTTTTTACCATGTGTTAGCTGTCCGGAGCTATTCTGAAGGGTCGTCATACTTCTATAGTGTTCTCATGTTCACATTGATTATATGAAATTTGAAACGCATCAGATTTTCGTCGAAAAACTTCCTCGCCAACTTCACAGATATGCTAGCAACTGTTCTCACCTCAATCACATCACCCACAGCTAGTGATAATTCATCACTTTGTTCTGCTTTATAAGCAAAAGCTGTTATAACATGTGGTAAGGGTTGGGAAGGCTTCGAAACAAGAGCTGAAACGACACTCAATTTAATAAAAAGTTTCCGAGTAGAATGCCTCGAATGAACTCACGTTTCTTGGGTTCATGGGCGGACAGAGGCGGTTTGCTTGCGGAAAAATCTTTCGACAATCGATCAACAAGACTTTTTACATTTCCTCCTACCATGATATCACCCTAAAATCGGTTGCTTAAAAAACTACTAGCGTATTACTAATCATGCCAGAGTTATGGAAAATCAATCAATACGAGATAAGCACTGCTGACGCAGAGCCACCGCTACTGATACATTCACATGAGTAAGCTTTGAACAGAATTAAAATTCTCCGACATTTCAATCCAATAATACCCAAAAAAAGTTCGCGTAATTATATAAAGAATGAGGATGATCATAAGTTCCAGGGAGTTACAAACCGTATCTTCCGAATGTACTAGGCGCAACACAACGAAAAGAAAATGCTAGCCGGAGTCATTAAAAGTTATTGTTACAACTGCAAGCAATCAATGTTCTTTTCTGCTCCTTGTTGTTTCAAATAACGCCCAATTACAAATAAGAAGTTCAGCTGAACAGGAGGACTACCAGATGAGTGTTGACGTAAAATCGCCACTTGAGCAAAAAAGCCCTGAACAAAACTTTAGTTTTCGAACATTCTCTGTACTGTTCAGTCAAAGACTATGGGGACCAGCTGGCAGTGGGCAGGGAAGCTTCAAACATCATCAAGCTTACAATCAGAATGAAATTCGCTCACTGATGACCAACATTTCCCTCTAATGCAGTGCAAGTGGCTTCATATACAATTTTCTGACTTTTCTTTTTTAACCGAACGATAAAGTCATTGTAAAAGTGTTTAGATTTCGATAGATGCACCATTCTTCCTCTACTATCCTTGTACACCAGGGTATCGCTCGAAATTGAATACTCAAGGACCGTGAAAATGTGGAAAAGGCGTGTGCGTAATGGCGAGTGTTCCCTAGCTCATCGTTTTTTGCCAATCCCTATTTCACGACATTCCCTTACAAACTTATTCCCCTTGATCTCAACTATGAGATAGACATTACTGGCACCCCTTGGCGCTCCAAAAAGTTGGTTACAAAAGGACGATGGACGATACAACAGTTCAATTTACTAGTTCATTGTTCTAAACCGTCAGATTGAGCAAGCGTTAGCTGAGTATCTGCTGACGTGCTTTGAGGATTGAAGGAAATTGAAAGCATCTGTATTCACTGCCCATTGGTCTCCCTCGTGGAGGAACTTGTTTGGAAGCAATAACAAGTTCCTGCAACCTACTTGTTTTTTTTTTNNTTTTTTTTTATTCTAATGAAAGTAATAGCCAGCAACCGAGTGAGGGTAAGTAAATTGTGATCTGCAATTAATTTGGATTTTTGTGCAACATTTGTAAACCTACTCACGTCATTTGCTTTTAAACCTACCTGGCCCATCGCTGCGCAGCTTCCTAATGTACTCAGAAACTTGTCGTGTGAAAAAAGGAAGCACTGTTCTTTTCGATTCTTGGTCCGAGGTAAAGGGAGCAGTGCATCGAAATGTTTATTACCTCTTTGAGTTAATCATGCAAAACTAACAGGAATGTGCAAAACCAGTAAACACAGAGGATGAGCCTTCAACTAATGAACGTGAGTCTATGGAGCGTTCCAAGAATGTGGTCAGCGGATTGCGGGGTGGCAAGGAAACTTATGCTCACATTTTATTGAGACTCACAAGTCGCAGAGGAGAAGCAAAACAATTAAAGTGCGTGTTACAGCGGATTCCGGGAAGTTGAAGACTTTCGAAGGTGCTGGACTTGGCATGAAAATGTCCACATTTCTGTTTTGCTGTGGCTTTTTCCGTCCCGCAACCTCACCTCTTTACTCCAACCCTTCACGACTCCTTTATGCGACTGTTTCCCTCACCCACAGCACCCTAGAGTAGCTCTTATTCGAAGATTCTTTGTTTGAATGTGGTACCATCAACTCGTGTTTTACTTTCCCTCTTTGCCCTTACGTGCTAACTTTATCCACCACCTACAGCAGTAAGGAAATTTACCATCACCTTCCTACGTAATATGATGCTGACGTACCTTGGGTGCAATAAATAAATCAAATGATCAATCATTTAGCCAATAAAGATGTAAACTAACTTGAATTGAAGCCATCGTGAAGGGTTAGATCATCGACACAACTGCTGTTTTTTTTTAAATTGAAAGAAGATATAAGCTGAAAAAGCTTCTCGTTAGGAAAAGCTAAAAATTATCCCGCTTTCAAGAAAAAAGGGCAATACGGCAAAAAACACGATAAATTCTTAAAAGTGAACTGAAACGTAGAATAAGGACTCTGAGTAATCTCAAAAAATACTACAAAATTATAAGAAACTGATGATTTCTAAAGAAAGATATCACGTCAGAATAAAAGTCATCGATTCAAGGAAGACAGCACGAAACAGCTGCATTGAAAGTAAAGTTATATAGGAAACGAACAGCTGATGATTACTCTGCCTTCTTTCGCTCTCTCAACTTCAAAGTGATCACAGCCCAAATAACTCATGGAACCATGAAAATGGCGCAAAAATAACATTTTCGATGGTCCAAATGATGATCCAAGCTAAACAGCTGTGTTCAAATCAGACAGTAGATATTTGTGTTAATCATTTGGGAGAAAGTTGTCCGAAAAGGGACGAGGGTGGTTTTGTTCGAGAGCAAGCGATGACTCATTCCGACATTGCTTCTCCTATCGATCACACCGAGGAATTTCCAACGACCTATTGTGGGAGTACGACCACACATTGTCATTATGACTCATTTCCGCTATTTGAAAAGAAAAACGATCGCTTTACGACATTTGCACTATCAACGAGTACCAGTGGAATATAAGAAAAAACGACCGAAAAAATGCCAATCATCCCACTCAGCAGCTGAGGTGAGATTTCGAAGGCGCCTGTTAAGGACACACACACACACACCCATTTTCCCAGGACCACGTTTACGCGTCGGATCTGGTTCACACAAAGAGAAACATGACTCATCGATTGGATCAAGATGGACGCTGGGAATCAAACCTCCCCAGATCCTTCACCGAGTTCAACCTGAACCAACCAACCACCCAAACCATTGATAAAGACCACGCAAAGGAAGACAAATGGAAGAACAACGAAATTCTGCCACTCCTGATTACTGAGCTACAGTTTCCGCGATTAATGAGAACAATGGACGAAATTTTGAAAAAAGCATAAATTTTCCAGAAACTCACAAAAAATCGCCCCAAACGCCGAATCATTTATCCACTTTGCTGTTCATAACAAATGCAAACGTATGCATGAGTAAAGAGACTGGTTCCATCATGAAAGCGGCTTTTTTTAATCAACAAATCATTCGAATTTGCATATGAGCTGCATTTAATTTCAAACTACAAAAACCGTTCGTTGCGATAAAAGGGAATACTGATGAGCGCCCTGGCTGAAAGGTCTGCAATTGCAGACATATATCGATTTTCATGGGTTTCAGGGCTGTTATCGAACGGGAATTTCTTTGGTTTAAAAGGACCACACGGAGAAGCACCTTCTGCATGTCGTGTCCCCGAACCATTAAAGGATGGGCCCATGTCTCCTCGAAAACACTCCTCCGCCAGGAATGAATGACGGAATTACAAGGTGGGAGACACCTTGGAGACTCTACCTCATTTCTCAGCGAGAAGTAGTAAATGGGGATAGGGAGTAAATGAAAAGCCTGAGGAGGAACATGAGAGACAGAACAACAAGGTCTGATCAAAGGTTGTTAGTGGTTCCTCAGCCTAAATTTCCTGGAAACTTCGGGCAAGTAAAGGCTTGGTTTTTCGTGCAATTTCAACGACACAATAGCACGAAAATGCAATAAATAAACATTTAAAAACAAAAAGCAAAAATAAGTAAACATTTCATAACAATGTCGCCGAGAAAACGAGTCCCACGCTTTAAACAATTTTCACTTTCAAAAAAAAGGGTGTCTATTAAGATAATGGATGGAGTCATGTCGGTCGCACTCTCTTCCAACAGCGCTTCCATGAGATAGTCTTATGGGATGATCACGTGCATTAGTAGTGCTGGAGCCCTCTTCGAGCTATATGCTCTGGCATTCATGAAGAGAGGGGTCCACCCGGGAGAACGCAGAGAAGACAACAAAAACGATGAGTCACCCCTATCGGGTGGCGGAAATTACGTCCGAACTTCCGCGGTCGCGCTCACACACTAGGCAATCTTTGGTAATGGTCTTGTAGCTTCAAACTGCAACTACCATAAGGACAGATTGGGACCGCGATGGTTCGAATCTGACCTACACAATGCACGCCAAAACCACCCACTGAATTTCTAGCACACGCGGCCAGTGCGCCACTCCGATCGGGCATAAATTCACACAACACAAACCCGCAGTTGGCAACGGACTAATATCTATAGCAGTCTTAAACTCCCCCCTCCCCCACCTTTCCTACCATAGAGCAAAAATTGTCTTGAAAACTGTTCAAAATACGCTAAAAGAAGGCACTGCATGTCTTGATGAGCTTATAAGTAAAAAATTTGATGTGGGCGTTTCAGTGAACATCTGCAAAGCATGTGAGAGAGAGAAAACAGCCATTAAGATATGCGTGATCCAGATGTCACGTAGATCCGCTCAATGTTCCAGAATCCTCGAACCGCCGGCGCCAACATTATCAAATATCACGGACTAGGCAGCAATAGGTATTCAGGGCACCACGCATGAAAACAATAACACCAAACATTTATTTTGCAGTAATATTTAGTTAGGGGCTCGCGTGGCTACCTCACGCTGCAATGCCATCCCCGTGGCTAACCCACCACCCGAACCGTGTCCTTTTTGACGCGTCGTGTATGTGACGGGTAGGAATTTGCTTATTCAAATAGGGTTACGCCGTGAAAAGAATTATGTGAAATTCTGCGTCCATTGCATTTTATTTCACCGCAAAGTCACTGTAAGAGCCGAGTACCGTTGGAAAATTTTGATCATGCTGACTGCACTTATACAACGAGGCGGGCAATTGTATTGGTGCTCCCAACAGAACTTTTTCTTGAGCTCCGAGTTATTCTACGGTGGTGAAAATGTAGTTGGGGGGTGCCAGGCACTTTTTGCTCTGCGTCTCTTCAATTCTTACCTCATCNAATAATCTCACCCATCCCGAAGCTCCTCCCCTTCTACAAGTTAGGGAAGGAGCTCCGGGGTGGGTGAACCAATTGGATGTTCAATTCTTACCCCATCCCAGCTTTTTGCACAAGATAATCATCTCACCCACCCCGGAGCTCATCCCCTAACTTCTAGAAGGGGAGGAATCCATCCCTGCAATCTCCATGCACTCTGCCGCCCGTGTCAGGGACGCAGAGCACAAAAGGGCGCTGGCACCCCCCAACTACATTTTCACCTTCTACGGTTATTCATAGGATTTCTCTATACATCTATAAATCATGAACTCATGTATTTCAAAGCCTAGTGAATATGTTATACAGTGACCCGAAGACACACTCAAGCGCCTCCGAACACACTTCATACATACGACATAAAAAAAGGTGCCTTGGGTGAGGTCGATGGGGTGGGTGGTGAGTGTTGGGAGGTTACTGTATCACACATCCACGGGACTTTAAAATCTGACTTGAAAATTCACGTGATCTCAATGCACTCCCACGTAGTTCATGAAAGATCGCGGGAATGCCAATGGGAGCATCCCTGGGTATTTGAATGATGTAATCCCTATTTACTTACACGTCCTATATTATTGCACCACGTTCCGGACGGAACTACTTGACGTTTTCGCAGACAATGGGTAGATAAGGATAGGGCAGGAATTGCAAGCATCCCTAGACGTCGAAAAATTTGGTTGTGATTATTGGTAAAACAGGATATAAAGGGAAACAGCGATGTTTTCGAAGACAACAACAAACAAGGTGTTAGAGAGACAGACGGCGTGTGAAAAGTTGCGTACATCAAGGTAAGGCGAACCAAACCGGATGACTTTTGACCTTGTTAGGTGTGCGATCAGCAATTACCCGACAACTGGGGCGAATGATCGTGACGAGCCCCGAATCGACCGATGTTAAATGGTAACCGCCCAAATAGCACAAAACATTCAGTAGGCCTGCTGGGTTGTCATTAATCACTACTTCATTGATCATGTGTTTCCCCATGGGTGCCGAGAAATCGTCCGCACTTCGCCTTTTAACGAGCGAGGGTTACAGCACTATCGAAGGGCCTTCTCGACGGAGTGGAACTTTCAAATCAGATGGAACTTCGAAATTTATCAGAAAAAAAAAACAATATCTAAACAAAATCTAGGCTATGGCCCAAAGATCAAAATGTAGCAGCGCAGTCGGGAGGAGCTCACGAGTTTGCTGGTGTTGAGAGATGGGTGAGGAGGGAACGAACTAGAAAACAATGAGCTCGAGAAAACGTTGTCAGGTTTTCAAAGCTGGATTCACTTCACGTAACTGGATATGCGCTTGCTTGACACTACCAGTAACCACCATACCCTGACAAAAACTCACTTTAAATTGTGAGAAACAGCCCCTTCACCGACCGATGTGCGAGTTTGTTGGGAGTGTACAGCCAGCTCATTGATATTCCGCTCGACTAACCGGCATAACACAGTACTCGACGCATATTTGCGTTTGCACGGAACTGATGAGTGGTGGGCAGACTAGGCTTTTGGGACCCCTGGTAGGCTCACTACGCTACTGAAGTCATCAAACATTGGGCAAATCCGTAGTGAGACTATTAGAAATCCGACAAAACTTTCTAGTGTTGGAGTAAATCTCGAAAACGAAGCCATATGGGAAGTTTTTCCCATCGCAGGCATAAAAGTTGAGAACAAGCACCCGGTTCTTACATTTTCTCATTCTAAAGTTAAATACCAAATGCGGAACTGTCAACAACATCGTATTTCATTCTACGACATTACCTTGTTACAAGATTACAGAGAGGTTACTGCTATTACTGCTATCCATTTAGAGCTAAATGGATAGCAGTTTTTGAAGTTTTCCTAGTCTTCATCTAGTTGGGTGCAGTCTATGCCGAAACGCACTTTTCGCCAGAATGGACAGTTTAAATAAATGGTGGGTGAACGGAAAGACAGTTAACCTCAGAAGTAATAGACCTACTTTAAGTTCTCCAAACCATTTCTT